CAACTTGTAAATGCCATTTTTAAAAAATGATTTACTTTTAGAGGCGAAGAACTCAACTAGCGCTTGGTTGACATCAGCTTCAGTTTTGAATTTTTTTCGTGTAAAAAGTTTTGCAAAGAGAGAAACAAGTGATGATCGGAGGGTGCTAGGTCTGGGGAGTACGGTGGATGCGACAGAATTTCCCAGCCTAGCTCTGCGATTTTCCGACGAGTCGCCAAAGCAGCATGTGGTCTGGCATTATCATCGGTAGCCATGTTTTCACGGTCGCGTCTCGCTTAATAATGACACGAGACATCTTTGTTTCAGTTTATTTAGGAGAGTACATGTGTGTAAATGCAATGATAAAGAGAGATAGTCATATACGTCTCAAATCAACATGTGCATATGGATTGAAACTTGAAGTGACACTATCGGACAGAACTTTTCGGTAGACCTAATACGAACACATAGTGATGCTAGAATAAAAACGATGCTTAACTTCATTATTTCTAACTTTTTGCCACGATTCGAAGGCAATTCGGAGGCCAAATGACGCTGTATTATACGCTTGACTGACTCCGTCGACCCTTAGCATCGACGTAGCAATAAATTACATGGATGTGGGACTAGTATAGAGAAATTCACATCAATCCGAAATTCGGCATCTCCGGGAGAAATTACTGTACTTGACACTAGATTTGCAGAGCACAAAAAACAGCTGTTTTATGTTAGTTTATAAAAGTAACAATAAGACGTTTATTCTGATTTTGTTATCTTAACATTTGCCGTAAGTAACATATAAATCGAATAAATAACTCATAAATCTATCTTTACGATATGAATAATCGTAAATGAAAAAATTAGTGATCCGTCATTTTGACGGGTTCCGTAAATCTAGTGTTAAATAGTATTCGAATTTTACATTACTTTCAAATAAAGCATCAATATTAATAATCTAATCTAAATAAATTACGGATCTAGTTAAGGTAAGATGACAACCATAAAATCAGAAGATCGCAGATCCGATTCTCGTTTCAGAGTCTGACGTGGTTAGACCTGTCTTACAATCAATTGGTCAAGGTTATCTCAAGGTTATGTCAAGCTTATGTCAAGGAATAATCGCAAATCAAAAAATTAGTAACCCGTCATTTTGACGGGTTCCATAAATCTAGTATTAAATAGCATTCGAATTTTGCATTACTTTCAAATAAAGCATCAATGTTAATAATCTAATCTAAATAAATTACGGATCCAGTTAGGGTAGGATGACAACCATAAAATCAGAAGATCGCAGATCCAATTCTCGTTTCAGAGTCTGACGTGGTTAGACCTGTCTTACAATCAATTGGTCAAGGTTATCTCAAGGTTTTGTCAAGCTTATGTCAAGGAATAATCGCAAATCAAAAAATTAGTAACCCGTCATTTTGACGGGTTCCATAAATCTAGTATTAAATAGCATTCGAATTTTGCATTACTTTCAAATAAAGCATCAATGTTAATAATCTAATCTAAATAAATTACGGATCCAGTTAGGGTAGGATGACAACCATAAAATCAGAAGATCGCAGATCCAATTCTCGTTTCAGAGTCTGACGTGGTTAGACCTGTCTTACAATCAATTGGTCAAGGTTATCTCAAGGTTTTGTCAAGCTTATGTCAAGGAATAATCGCAAATCAAAAAATTAGTAACCCGTCATTTTGACGGGTTCCATAAATCTAGTATTAAATAGCATTCGAATTTTGCATTACTTTCAAATAAAGCATCAATGTTAATAATCTAATCTAAATAAATTACGGATCCAGTTAGGGTAGGATGACAACCATAAAATCAGAAGATCGCAGATCCAATTCTCGTTTCAGAGTCTGACGTGGTTAGACCTGTCTTACAATCAATTGGTCAAGGTTATCTCAAGGTTATGTCAAGCTTATGTCAAGGAATAATCGCAAATCAAAAAATTAGTAACCCGTCATTTTGACGGGTTCCATAAATCTAGTATTAAATAGCATTCGAATTTTGCATTACTTTCAAATAAAGCATCAATGTTAATAATCTAATCTAAATAAATTACGGATCCAGTTAGGGTAGGATGACAACCATAAAATCAGAAGATCGCAGATCCAATTCTCGTTTCAGAGTCTGACGTGGTTAGACCTGTCTTACAATCAATTGGTCAAGGTTATCTCAAGGTTATGTCAAGGTTATGTCAAGAAATAATCGCAAATCAAAAAATTAGTAACCCGTCATTTTGACGGGTTCCATAAATCTAATATTAAATAGCATTCGAATTTTGCATTACTTTCAAATAAAGCATCAATGTTAATAATCTAATCTAAATAAATTACGGATCCAGTTAGGGTAGGATGACAGCCATAAAATCAGAAGATCGCAGATCCAATTCTCGTTTCAGAGTCTGACGTGGTTAGACCTGTCTTACAATCGATTGGTCAGGCTCGACGACAGCGTGTTCTCCGAGCTGCCTTATCTAACTCATCTCGACTTGAGCCACAATAAACAATTGCTGTTGGAGTCGCGAGGAAGGACTTTCCACGGATTGGAGGACTCTCTTCTTTATCTAGATTTGAGCAACATCTCGCTCTTGAGCGTACGTATAGATGGACATCGATGTATTCGAACTGTCTCGTCTAGATGACCTCGCCAGAACTTCGGATCTTCATGCGCATCCCTATCGTGCACAGGTGCCGGATTTGCCGCTGCGGCGGCTGCAAACGTTGTACTTAGCGTACAACGAGCTGGCGTCGATATCGCCGGATATGTCGTCGAACTTGACGTCCCTGCACTACTTGGACCTAAGCGCCAATGATCTGACGGTGGTGCCATTGATCACACACACCCTGCCGGAACTGAAAACCTTCAGTCTGGCGGATAATCCCATCACCGCTGTCACCAACACCAGCTTCCTTGGCATCGCCGACAGCCTCGAGGAGCTCGACATACGACGATTAGCATTGTCGACGTTCGAGGTAAGATCTTTGCTAGAATGGCGCACAACGTTGCTTCGCGTTGACTTCGATGACTTTCTTAATCTAAAGTTCGTCCTCGCGATTTCTTCGTTCGCAGTCGGGAGCGCTCTGCAAAGCGACCAAACTTCGCAAACTGTACATAACTGCTTACAACAGCGTGAAGAACTTCAACTTTCCGAACATTCTCGAGTACAATCACGGGCTGCGGCATTTAATCATCGACGTAGGTCCAACATCGTTTTTTCTTATTCGCGGCCGTGAATCGGGGAAAGCTTATAATCGCCGGTTGCAGGTACAAAATGAGACCGATCTGGAGAAAGAGATGAAAGGAAGGTTTCCATACAAGCTGTTCAATATAACGTTGACCGGCCGGGCTCTGAAGAACGTAAACGCGGACATCCTACGTGTACGTACTCGAACGAAAACACTGTCCGACACGATTTTTCAGTTCCTGTAGCCACTGTGAAATTCTTGTAGAGCTTCGCTCCCTGAACAAGAATCCGAAAACCGAATTGCTCCATCAGCCTCAGTTTTATAAATAAACGAACTTTTGTAAAAGCCCAAAATATTCGACAAAAATGAGGTATTGCATGAAAAGTACAAACGTTAGGAAGTTCTAATTGGTGTTAAAAGATAGAGGAGAGTTTCCCGAATACAGTGGCATGCGATTTATTAATTGTTTTTGGTCCTAAATAGCAATGAATTGATGTCAAAGTTTAAAAAAGTGTCGACGTGAGCAGTTTCTGCGCGATATTTTTGTATTTTTACGAAAAGTTCTTTGTTCGGCGCGAAAACTCTACCCAGGATCGGATTCTGTAGACATTTCTGAAGAAGAAACGGCCCGATAAAAGTGTCGGAACGATATACATTTCGAGTAGATCGAGAAAATGTTCGTCGGCAACATGTACACGACGTTTTGCCGCCATGAGCTTCGCTGCTCGCTTCTCTCTGTCCGACAGGGCCGACGCTACGCGTAATCAACACCGATGGAGGGATGCAATGGGGCACCCACTTAGCTTGTGGGGCGTGCCATTTTTTTTAGTACTTCAATGTGCTGTCTTCTTTTACATATTTTTATGGATAATAATCATCAAACTGTGAATCATAAATTAAAAATGGAGAAATAATAAAAGAAAAATAATGAACAAAAAATATTCATTTTATTCTGAATTTGTTCGAATTATAAGTATATCATGTATACAGATATCGTTTAAATTATAACGATAATACGATCATGAATAAATAATCATTTTCAAAACGTTAAACTTCTTGAAGCATATCGTTAAATATATATTTAAATATTTATTTAATTATATGGCGTAGAAGTCAAAATTATACTACCTCATTTTTGTCGAAAATTTTGGGTTTTTACAAAAGTTCGTTCATTTAAAAAACTGAGGCTGATGGAACAATTCGGTTTTCGGATTCTTGTTCAGGGAGCGAAGCTCTACAAGAATTTCATAGTGGCTATAGGAACCCAGAAAAAGAGTTTGTCTTTGTCGTACAGTGAAGTCGACAGTCTTCGGAACAGTTTGAATGAATGGTATACTCGCGAACGAATCGAGCGAATGGAAAGAAATTATGATCGAATGAGTAGTTTTACATTAAAGATAAAAAAAAAGGAAAAGTTATGTTTCTATGGTCTCCACGAAATGATGAATTCTTCAGGGAATAAGAAGTCCTCATCTCCATTTTGGTATGTACAATACCAGCGTGAGCACCGTGCCGAAGAAGATGTTCGAGAACGCGGAGTGGGTCAGAAACGTGACGATTCATGTTCATCACAGCGATATCAGGACACTGAACAATCCATCGGACGGATATAGGCCGGGAGTACCGGGGAAACGATTTCTGCTGAGACTCACGGTCCGAGGAAACTACTTCACCTGCGACTGCGACATCGGGTGAGTTCGACTAGCCTTGCAATTCATTTTATCCGACAAGAAGTCGGAAACGTAACATTACAGTTTCGTAATACATGTATGCAATATAATTATCTTTGTCACATTTGCTCAGTTGGAGATAACGCCACTGATTAGTACGATTTTTTTTTTTAAGTAATCGCAACCGTGTTGTCATTGAATTCTGTTTTTTTTTAAATTCCATGTTTAAAATGCTGTGATAAATTCATATAAGTATCTTTCTTTTATCATTGGAATTACGTAAACACGACTAATGTATATTGTTTTATAACAATGACAATATTAGATTTATTTGAATTTCGTATGATTTCTATTATAGCACAGGGTGTCCGAAAAATGTCTCGCAATTCGGAAATGAGGGGTTCCTGAGATCATTTGATACTTCAAATTCGATACTTCAATTACTTCAATTCAAGGCAAAAGTTGCTACTTTTTCCTTAGCGAAAATGCAATCTGCGGCTTCGTTTACGAGTTATTATAGGCATGGAGCAGCCGAGCTAGTGAGAGGCGAGCTCGGCTGGCGCGGAGCGACCGAGCCAATGGGAGGCGAGCTCGGCTGGCGTCGGAGCGGCCGAGCCAGTGAAAGGCGAGCTGGGCTGGCGCGGAGTGGTCGAGCCAATGAGCGGAACTGAGCTTCGTGCGCTCGTTGGCTGGGCCGCTCCGCGCCAGCCGAGCTCGACTCACTGGCTCGGCCGCTCCGCGTCAGCCGAGCTCGCCTCTCATTGGCTCAGGCGCTCCGCGCCAGCCGAGAGCTCGCCTCTCATTGTTTTTCGTCAGTAACTCGTAAACAAAGCCGAGGATTACATTTTCGCTAAGGAAAAATTTACTCTAAATGACCTCGGGAACCCCCTTTCCCCATTTTTGAAATACCTTGTACATGCCCGGATAAAAAAGTTCGATTACGAATTTCTCATAGAAACATTTTCATAAAATATACGAACAACAATTCGCACACACGCGTGTCCCAGTATTAGCTTAATTTTCTGTTTGTCCACTTGTACCGGACGGCGAACAAATGAAGATGGATGGAGACATGGCAGAGGAAGCACAGACAGTACCAGGAAGATCGTTGCAGCACCTTCAGCGAGTTCAAGAACTTCGAGCGGAACGAGGAAGACGACGAATTCGATTGCTGGAACAACGAGTGGGACGACGATCTCCGGGAGTCGTTTTGTATGAACAAGAACAATATTTCGGTGCTGGAGATGTTGAAAACTGATCTGGAATGCGGCTGGGGCGCAGCGAGCTACACCCAGGCACCCCATCTCGTCGCTCTTCTTCTCTTCGTCGTTCTTGCAGCAGCGATCTACTAAGCCTTTGTCCATTAACATTTCGTGTTCTTCGAATTGATCACCGTTCCTTTCCTCGTGACACAGAACGGCTCAAAGTGCAAACAGAATGTCGCTTCTCGCGGTGACGAAATCTCCTGTTTCCACGGGAACACGTCGTAAATGTAATTACATTCGGTTCCGTTTGAACGATCTGTAAATAGACGTTTACTTCGTCAGCTTTAATCGATGAAAGAAGTATCAGTAGGTACTCCTAGTCCCGTGTTCGTGTTTCCCAAAGTTTTGGGAACGTTTCGGTAGTCCGAAACCGTAAAAACGTAAACTAAATACTCGCCGCTGTTATTTATTATAAATAGAACGTTTCTAGGATTTTATTATATGAGCCGTTTATTTTGAAAGTGGCACAAGTCACTTTGTTTTTTAAGTCGATATATTTAAGGGTTTGCGTTTTAACACGTTTAAAAATATGGTATGCTAACTTTCGAGAAGATTTACTTGTATTTGTTATCTCAGGATACTGATATTTTTCTCAGTATAAATAATTTCGTATAAACATTAAAAAATCACCACTTTTCGTTACGGTAAAGTGACTTAAGCCACTTTCAAAATAAATGGCTCATACATATATATATATAGAAAATCCGATTCTAGTACTATTCTTCACACTAGAATGAAAAACTATCGTTATAGAGGGTGTTTCACTCTAAGGAAAACATCTACTCGTCACAATTGCATAGTCTTTAAAGCAGTTCATTTTTTGTATTTCGTTCGATACTATTTGTTTGCAAGTGAATCACGAGGTTTTACAAACGAGTATGTTTTAAATTCTGTTTCTCTTTTCCATACGTGCAGCAAAAAGATATATTATACTATATTATTATATTTTAGTATATAGTATAGTATATAGTATATCTATAGTAGTATAGTAGTATATTATATATATAGTGTATTATTATACTATATAATTATATTATTATTTATTATATTATATTATACTATATATATATTATACTACTATTATACTATCTAACGCTGCGTACTAAATTTAAGTTGATTATCACCTTATCAATATCAAAATATAGCGAGGCTAAGTGCACCAATGTCACCAAAGAAAATATATTCACAATGAAACAAACACTGTTGTCGTAGTTCACGAATAAAAGAGTTCAGGTAACCGATAGCGATCACATATACGTAAGAATCTAAGGCCACACTGTGTGCAGTATACATACATATACTTTATTCATATTTTCTGAATAAACTGTAGCGGTATTTATGTGCAGGAGTAGAATTTATTTATTTATTTATAAATAATTGTAATTGTAATAGCTTCGATGTGTTGCGCGTCAGTGTTATTTATTTTTATTTATTTATCTGTTCGCGGTTACTTTATTTATTGTTAGCCTCGCGGACGTAACTACATTTGTGGACACGATCCGTAGTGCCGCGAAAGCGTTCTCGTTTGCATTTTGGTCCGCTGCGATCCCGAGGAAACAAAAGTTCTTGCACACCCCCTCGTCACTTCGCATTGAACAGCACGCTTCGAATCACCGATACTGTCAGATTAATGTTCGGATACTCGTACAAAGTGTAAATCGTCGCGATCAACAGGAATTGAGGTTTCACCCTATTCGTAGGAACTAGACGACTTCCTCTTCACGATCATTGTATAAAACGAAACACCCCCAGCGACGTACTAATTTTTCTCTATTTCGTTTCTTCGTGCCATCGCATCGTACAACTAAGAGCTCGCGAATCGAACGGCACCCACTTCGAACTTTTCGCAAGAAAACCGATCAAACCGGCGAGATGCGATGGAAGTTGCCGGGGATACTCGATTAATTCGCGCGACGGTGCGAGATCGAATTTCATTAGAATTACAGTTCCCCGCGAGTTAGAGGTAAACAAGATTTTTATACAATTCTCCACGTCTGCTCGCCTGTTTCTTGCAACAAGATGTCTACCTTTCTGCTTCGATCGCGAGATCTTAATTGAACAATGTGCCTCAATGTTTTTCGTTCGATCGACTGGACGCATCCAGATTGTTATTTATTCGAATGAGTTCGCAAGTATCGTGGCTAAAATCGAAAAGACTCGCAGTTTCACGATACACATTTTGCGAGTGATGTCGCCATCCCTATACAAAAAAAAGAAAAAGAAAAGAGAAGAGTATTCACTTGCAAGTAACGCGACGTCGGCATTTTTTTAATAAAACTGCACCAAATACACGAGAAAACCTTTCGTTGTTATTTACAATCCTTTCTCTAATACAAACCGGCTATAAAATAAACGATATCACAAATATAATATATAATATTATATATATATTATATAAATATATATAAATATCACAAAAAAAGAAAAACGTACAAAACTCCAAAAAACGCTATAAAAATCGAATAATAATTCCTATACCTCTACAACAGTTCACGATTGCACCGATTCCACGTAACAATGACCGCTCGGAATTTAACTCGGCGGTGGCGCAATTGAAATTAATAGTAGAGCATGATCTCTACAATTATGCCAATTACCACCTGCACGATTGGTAAAATGATAAATCCGAATATAAAAAATAGACAGATGTACACGCTGAACAGTTCCGTCAAGAATACGAAGCTTCGGATCATCATCTGCCGAAAGTCTTTGCTGTCCCTTATGCTGATCATTTTGTCCAAAATGAATCGTAGCACGAAAAGGAATACCTAAAAAAATTGTACGGTCTATAGCGAGTTATGGATCAATCGATAATTATTTACCAATACCTGTGCGACGGGTATAATGTTCAATATCACGTATAAGAGAGCGAGGAGGGACTGACTAGTGGCTTGACCCAATGCTTTGATAAGCGTCGCGAATGAATATTCCGTGTTCGGAACGCCGTTGGACTCTTGATAAGCAGCCAAACAATCCCGAATACGTTGCAAATAACTTGCTCCGTCGGTTTCTTTGGAATTCTCGCTGTGACTTTTGTTCCAGGCATCTTCCATCGAGCTCGTAGAAATATTATTTTCTATGCGGAAAACAGATTACAGCAATGTCTCTCTAATTGACGCNTCCGCGGAACATTGTCGGACAGGAGCTGAATGAAGGAGTACAGTAATATGTCTCTCTAATTGACGCTCAGATTGTACACAAAAATGGACAATTTTGGAGAAGGAGATACGATTGTTCGAGCATTGCGGCTCGTTTTTATAATTATCGATTGTCAACAACTATAAAAAGAAACCGCAAGGTTCGAATAATCGTATCTCCTCTTTCTACATTGTCTCCATTATTATTTGTATGCTGAAAAACAATTGGGGAGAATTTACTGTAGTCATTGAAGAGCGATAACTGAACAGTTTTGTGTTCAAAGTTAGTTATTTACAAAAGCCAGATACAGTAATGTCTCTCTAATTGACGCTCAAGTTGTGCACAGAAAAGGACAATTTGGGAAGAGGAGATACGATCATTCGAGCCTTGCAGCTCGCTTTTTATAGTTGTTGATAATCCGTAACTATAAAAATGAACCGCAAGGATCGAATAATCGTATCTCCTCTTCCTAAATTGTCCATTTTCGTGGACAATCTGAGCGTCAATTAGGGAGACATTACTCGTGTGCTACATCCACGCATCGTGCGACTTTTTTCATGCATTTACTGTTCGTTCGCAATATTTTTGACACAGCCGATAATTCGCGAATAATTTAAACTGGTAGGGTAACGAGGCCGACGAAATAATGATTTGAACGTAATTCCAGATTAATTGGAGGAGATACGATTAATTCGAGTCTTGCGCCTCGTTTTTATAATTGACCGATTCTCAACAACTTTAAAAACGAGGCGCAAGTCTCGAACAATCGTGTTTCCTCTTCCTGAATTGTCCATTTTCGTGGACAACNCGATCTGTAAATAGACGTTTACTTCGTCAGCTTTAATCGATGAAAGAAGTATCAGTAGGTACTCCTAGTCCCGTGTTCGTGTTTCCCAAAGTTTTGGGAACGTTTCGGTAGTCCGAAACCGTAAAAACGTAAACTAAATACTCGCCGCTGTTATTTATTATAAATAGAACGTTTCTAGGATTTTATTATATGAGCCGTTTATTTTGAAAGTGGCACAAGTCACTTTGTTTTTTAAGTCGATATATTTAAGGGTTTGCGTTTTAACACGTTTAAAAATATGGTATGCTAACTTTCGAGAAGATTTACTTGTATTTGTTATCTCAGGATACTGATATTTTTCTCAGTATAAATAATTTCGTATAAACATTAAAAAATCACCACTTTTCGTTACGGTAAAGTGACTTAAGCCACTTTCAAAATAAATGGCTCATACATATATATATATAGAAAATCCGATTCTAGTACTATTCTTCACACTAGAATGAAAAACTATCGTTATAGAGGGTGTTTCACTCTAAGGAAAACATCTACTCGTCACAATTGCATAGTCTTTAAAGCAGTTCATTTTTTGTATTTCGTTCGATACTATTTGTTTGCAAGTGAATCACGAGGTTTTACAAACGAGTATGTTTTAAATTCTGTTTCTCTTTTCCATACGTGCAGCAAAAAGATATATTATACTATATTATTATATTTTAGTATATAGTATAGTATATAGTATATCTATAGTAGTATAGTAGTATATTATATATATAGTGTATTATTATACTATATAATTATATTATTATTTATTATATTATATTATACTATATATATATTATACTACTATTATACTATCTAACGCTGCGTACTAAATTTAAGTTGATTATCACCTTATCAATATCAAAATATAGCGAGGCTAAGTGCACCAATGTCACCAAAGAAAATATATTCACAATGAAACAAACACTGTTGTCGTAGTTCACGAATAAAAGAGTTCAGGTAACCGATAGCGATCACATATACGTAAGAATCTAAGGCCACACTGTGTGCAGTATACATACATATACTTTATTCATATTTTCTGAATAAACTGTAGCGGTATTTATGTGCAGGAGTAGAATTTATTTATTTATTTATAAATAATTGTAATTGTAATAGCTTCGATGTGTTGCGCGTCAGTGTTATTTATTTTTATTTATTTATCTGTTCGCGGTTACTTTATTTATTGTTAGCCTCGCGGACGTAACTACATTTGTGGACACGATCCGTAGTGCCGCGAAAGCGTTCTCGTTTGCATTTTGGTCCGCTGCGATCCCGAGGAAACAAAAGTTCTTGCACACCCCCTCGTCACTTCGCATTGAACAGCACGCTTCGAATCACCGATACTGTCAGATTAATGTTCGGATACTCGTACAAAGTGTAAATCGTCGCGATCAACAGGAATTGAGGTTTCACCCTATTCGTAGGAACTAGACGACTTCCTCTTCACGATCATTGTATAAAACGAAACACCCCCAGCGACGTACTAATTTTTCTCTATTTCGTTTCTTCGTGCCATCGCATCGTACAACTAAGAGCTCGCGAATCGAACGGCACCCACTTCGAACTTTTCGCAAGAAAACCGATCAAACCGGCGAGATGCGATGGAAGTTGCCGGGGATACTCGATTAATTCGCGCGACGGTGCGAGATCGAATTTCATTAGAATTACAGTTCCCCGCGAGTTAGAGGTAAACAAGATTTTTATACAATTCTCCACGTCTGCTCGCCTGTTTCTTGCAACAAGATGTCTACCTTTCTGCTTCGATCGCGAGATCTTAATTGAACAATGTGCCTCAATGTTTTTCGTTCGATCGACTGGACGCATCCAGATTGTTATTTATTCGAATGAGTTCGCAAGTATCGTGGCTAAAATCGAAAAGACTCGCAGTTTCACGATACACATTTTGCGAGTGATGTCGCCATCCCTATACAAAAAAAAGAAAAAGAAAAGAGAAGAGTATTCACTTGCAAGTAACGCGACGTCGGCATTTTTTTAATAAAACTGCACCAAATACACGAGAAAACCTTTCGTTGTTATTTACAATCCTTTCTCTAATACAAACCGGCTATAAAATAAACGATATCACAAATATAATATATAATATTATATATATATTATATAAATATATATAAATATCACAAAAAAAGAAAAACGTACAAAACTCCAAAAAACGCTATAAAAATCGAATAATAATTCCTATACCTCTACAACAGTTCACGATTGCACCGATTCCACGTAACAATGACCGCTCGGAATTTAACTCGGCGGTGGCGCAATTGAAATTAATAGTAGAGCATGATCTCTACAATTATGCCAATTACCACCTGCACGATTGGTAAAATGATAAATCCGAATATAAAAAATAGACAGATGTACACGCTGAACAGTTCCGTCAAGAATACGAAGCTTCGGATCATCATCTGCCGAAAGTCTTTGCTGTCCCTTATGCTGATCATTTTGTCCAAAATGAATCGTAGCACGAAAAGGAATACCTAAAAAAATTGTACGGTCTATAGCGAGTTATGGATCAATCGATAATTATTTACCAATACCTGTGCGACGGGTATAATGTTCAATATCACGTATAAGAGAGCGAGGAGGGACTGACTAGTGGCTTGACCCAATGCTTTGATAAGCGTCGCGAATGAATATTCCGTGTTCGGAACGCCGTTGGACTCTTGATAAGCAGCCAAACAATCCCGAATACGTTGCAAATAACTTGCTCCGTCGGTTTCTTTGGAATTCTCGCTGTGACTTTTGTTCCAGGCATCTTCCATCGAGCTCGTAGAAATATTATTTTCTATGCGGAAAACAGATTACAGCAATGTCTCTCTAATTGACGCTCGGATTGTTCACAGAAATGGACAATTTGGGAAGAGGAGATACGCTTATTAGAGCCTTGCGGCTCGTTTTTATAATTATCGATTGTCAACAACTATAAAAAGAAACCGCAAGGTTCGAATAATCGTATCTCCTCTTTCTACATTGTCTCCATTATTATTTGTATGCTGAAAAACAATTGGGGAGAATTTACTGTAGTCATTGAAGAGCGATAACTGAACAGTTTTGTGTTCAAAGTTAGTTATTTACAAAAGCCAGATACAGTAATGTCTCTCTAATTGACGCTCAAGTTGTGCACAGAAAAGGACAATTTGGGAAGAGGAGATACGATCATTCGAGCCTTGCAGCTCGCTTTTTATAGTTGTTGATAATCCGTAACTATAAAAATGAACCGCAAGGATCGAATAATCGTATCTCCTCTTCCTAAATTGTCCATTTTCGTGGACAATCTGAGCGTCAATTAGGGAGACATTACTCGTGTGCTACATCCACGCATCGTGCGACTTTTTTCATGCATTTACTGTTCGTTCGCAATATTTTTGACACAGCCGATAATTCGCGAATAATTTAAACTGGTAGGGTAACGAGGCCGACGAAATAATGATTTGAACGTAATTCCAGATTAATTGGAGGAGATACGATTAATTCGAGTCTTGCGCCTCGTTTTTATAATTGACCGATTCTCAACAACTTTAAAAACGAGGCGCAAGTCTCGAACAATCGTGTTTCCTCTTCCTGAATTGTCCATTTTCGTGGACAACCTGTGCGTCAATTCCACATCCACGCATCGTGCGACTTTTTTTGATGCATTTACTGTTCGTTCGCAATATTTTTGGCACAGCCGATAATTCGCGAATAATTTAAACTGGTAGGGTAACGAGGTCGACGAAATAATGATTTGAACGTGATTAATTGGAAGGCGATACGATTAATTTGAGTCTTGCGCCCCGTTTTTATAATTTACCGATTCTCAACAACTATAAAAACGAGGCGCAAGACTCGAACAATCGTGTTTCCTCTTCCCGAATTGTCCATTTTCGTGGACAACCTGAGCGTCAATTAGGGAGACATTGACTGTATTTCGTATTTCACGAGATCATTTCTCTGCGCCAGTTGACAGCAGGCAATTCGTATCCAATTTGTTATCAATTTGCGGTAAGTTTTGTCGGTAAACCTTAACCGCGCGCGAGCATTGGAGCAACAACAGCAAGTTGTGTTCATCTTTTTAAGGAAACTAAGTGAAATAAATTGTTAACAAAATTACCAGAAACGAAGTGGTATCGACACCTCCTGTGCGATTCATCGAGATCAGAGATACTGTACAGCTTCTTTAATTTCAAATCAGAACCCTCAGGTTCGTGTATCAATTTCCTTGGCAGAGAGTGCTCAAGTGTATCTTTATCGTTCCTCCAATCGCCTGATTTATGATGCGAAATATTCTCGGTGTTACCCTTGATTATTTTCGGCTCGTATCTGTCCTTGCAACGCGGATAAGTACACGTGAAACGGCTTTTCACGTAGCTGCTCTCTACTTCGCATTTGTCGCCTTCTACAAACTAATTAAATGTACGAAAACATGAGGAATATCGATGCTGTAAATGTCGTGTTATTTTTCTTTAATCAGAACAAATAAAGGAGAAAGATCAGAATTTTTTCCGTAACGATACATGTAGTACGTTTATTCGTAGATCAAGTTTAATCATTTCTTTTGGAATTGTCCGTAAGAAAAGAATTGCTAAACTCCTTTCGGATCTAGCACATTTATTAAAAAAAAAAACAAAACGTATTAATAGATTTCTAGCAAGTTAACATCGTGTTGTGTAATTAAATCAAGTAAGTTTCATAACGATAAAATAAAGCGGAATATAGAGTAAAAATAGAATATAAGACGAGAGTAGACGAAAAGTAGATGTTATAAAAGTTGGAAGAAGGAATTCCGGAAGATCGAGTTGATTCAGTTGCTCGTTTACTTGCTGATTATGAAAAAGACATTTATTTTCCAGATGCCACCTCTCGCTATAATCAGACTTTGGTACAAAAGCGAAACTGTTCTGTCTTTGCATATCATTCGTGTTTAACGAACAGGATACTCGGATCGCGCTTGGACCACCCTCGGTACGCATAATTACGCTAGTTTCCAAACGACACACGATTTAACACCGATTACAATTTTATCCTGTCGTAACGACGACGAGAACGGTCAGTTAATTTTCATTTCTGTGCGATCAGATGTGAAGAGGAAAGGAAAAAACGTTCACCAAATCATGACGTGAACATGTCGGACTGTCTATCACCGTTGTGTGTCACCTGACAACGAAGTACATACATACATACATACATGTACACAATTCTCGTGTGAATTTAGCATCGAATACAAATGTAACAATTGTAAAGTCTCTGGGAGCGAAACGAATTAGCCGTCCCATGGTAATCGGACAAAGTCGCCGCGCCGCTACATCAACTTCTATTCCATCGCTGTTCGCGAGATGCACTTTAATTTCAGTGCAAATAGAAAAACATCGTCGCTCGCGGACAGCGGTCTCGAGTTCCCACTCGGCGAAAATAAATTGCGCACTTAGTCTATTATATTCAATAGAACTTTATTGTCACGTGACTAACAATCAGACAGGCGAAAAACATGGAGCAGTTTGTAGGAAAAGCCGCTGCTCATAAACGTTTTATACAAATTGATGGTTCTTTTGTTCACCCGAGAGCTACAACCGCGCGATGTAAAGAGAAATCGGGGAAACAAAAGTAACATATAAATGTAAAATAATGGAACAGGAGGAAAACCCGCGGAGACGAGCAAGAAGGGGGCGGGGGAAGGAGCAAAGGAAGAGGGAGAGGAGAGGAAGGAGAGACAGGGATGGAGATTCTTCGTCGCCATTACAAAATCAATCTTTTGTACATACATGCGTTACAACGCCGAGCGTCGTACAAGGGGGTATTTCTCGGCTTGATTCGTAGCATCGTATCAGCTAGGATTCGCTAAATCTACAAATATATATTTCTACAAATTTCGACCGGACCGGTCTTCGGGTACACTTTCACTCATCACAGTCGCGCATCTCACTATTTAATCTTAAGCTGTGTGCACTGCGTTATTGTTGCTTTTCATTCGTTTTTGTTTGTTTTCATTTCTCTGTCCCGGGGAATAACATGGAGTAGAAGAGAGTCACAGCAGCTCTGAAGCCGATACGAAAAGAAACGGAACGGAAAAACCAACGTTATTCTCCACTGTAATTGTTCGTGTGATTTGAAGAGCAGCGAAAGCTTTACGGGTTTACGCTCAAAAGGACACCGCAGCCTGACTCGTCGAGGTGGTTGCGTTCGTCTGTGTCGGGGTCACTTACGTATACAACAGTGGTGCGAGGAAATTTCGTGGTGTATGTGTGTAACAGCGTTAGGAAAAATTTTCATTTGTGTGCCTCGTTCTCTTTTGTACAGCAATTCCAGTCGCCACTGCCGCGCGCGCACGCACGCGCGCGTGCACGCGAGGGAAAACACGTTTCTTGGAGGACAACAATCGTCGTTTTTGCGAGGTATAATCTCGGTATCAATGGGATCAACTGATATTTTGCATGTTAACATTTTCACGCGCTCGCACAAGGTTCGAATAAATACGTCCATTTGACGGGACTAAAAGGGACTCACGAACCCGATGTATCGAATGTTCGGCAGAAATTTTGAAAGACGAGGGGGGGGGGGGATACCGATCTTTGTGCACGTTTACAACATGCCGAAACCTTTCGAATAGTTGATCGCTTTCATCAAACGATCCCGCAATTTTTCTATTGTGCTGTAGTCTGGCAACAGTAAGACGTTGAAGCATGTATGTGCTATTGGTAGTCTGAAAATCGAACCGAATTATTTGTAAAATAATATAACACACGTATGTTGCTGTCTATACTAAATCGTACCTATCGGTGTCAGGGCCGTGTCTGGCAATGACCATTTTAAGCCTGGACAAACCACCGACCGGTACTCTGTCGCTTCCGGTAGTGAACTGTAACAATCGTCGTTGACTTTCTGGCGTCAATGAGTGAGCAACACGCCAGAAATTGCGTATTGCTTCGCTGTCCACCGTGTAACCACCCTCGTATTCTGTCGCTGCTTCCAATTCCGCAAAATCGAAAATTTTACTACCGCAAACGAGCTGCAATACAATAAAATAGACCGATGGAATATTTCAGTTTGTACAAACGGGAATAAACGAGTGAGAAAAGTGTTGAATGAATACTTGTTCAATTTCTTCAGGTCTAAAAAGTAACGCGAGTGGACTCTCATCTGTGACCATTTGGAATCCACGCCTGAACGCTTTGAATTGACTTTCTACTGATTTATTAAGTAAGAAGTCCGCATAGAGATCTACAAATTCCTTCTTATTCTCTTGTGTAACAAAAAGCTCGTCACCATTTTCTTTGAGATCGTGGAAAGATATCGAGCCGAAAACATCCCTAAGATTCCATGATGTAATTAGTTTCTTAGAGAGAAATTGTTTTAATGTTTATCGATTTGATCAAAACTTACTTGTAAGCCACTCTGAAAGTCTGCATGAATGTCTCTGGCATGTCATCTCCAGTATATTCCATCAATTCCTTCAATGTCCTGTACAACGTAGGGCTCCAATCTTCTAAATCGGCAAAACTACCTTTCCTACCGAGCAACTTTCGATATACAACCATAGAGAAACGCACGTCGAGGATTACATTGTTGTATATCGCTAGGCCAAGAACAACACCTATCAGCGTAAAGTGTGCACCACTTTCAAACGATGTTGGATTAAACCATGTCATTTGCGTGTCTTCCTACAACAATAAATAAAATATTTAGTTAAGTACGCTGGTTCGAAAATACATTTTTCCTTTTAATTTATCTCCAGCTACCTGAGTCGTGAACATGCCATAATCAGGATTAAAAATTTCTTCTACAATTAATTGAAAGAATTCTTTGGAAACACCGCCCTCATCGACTCCTTGTTCGCCCTCGAATTCAATGACTAACTGTTTCTTAAGATCTGAAGGATTTTCCATTGCTATCATTTCCAATTCTACTAATGCGTCATCAATAAGACGATCTCTTCTCACCTATATTCGCGAAAAATGTATTAATAAAACTATACATCCTGTACGGTGCAAATTATTATTGCCTTGCGTCTTAATAACGGATCAAGATCGATCTAATAAAAGATGTACGCAAACCTTTAGTTTTAAATATGGATTGGTAGGTTGACCGACCACTGACTGTAAAAAGCTCATCCGACGTTCACTGTACATTCTGATACGATTATCATAATACAAGCCTAACGTTTTAGTAGCTGGTGTGAGGATAAAAGCGTAATTCATAAAACTAAATTTCATCGGCTCCTCGCTTTTGTAGTATGCAAAGTCTTTGTCCATTTCTATAGCGTCACTAAGAGGCTCATTGTAAAAGTCTGTAAATGGTATAAATGGCTTCCGAGCATCTAGTGCTGTAATTCCAAGTTCTTTCGCTAGTGGATCCTTTAGAAAATGAAAATCCTTGTTGATATCAATAAAGTGAAATACATACCAATTTTTCTTTTCATATCGGTACCTGAGGAATTTGTGATGATCTCCCAGATTTATCAATACCAGCAGATTCTCCATCTTCGTCTAGATGTAATTCAGGTTCGTCCAGTTCACCCGCGAGCATACTCGCGTAGTACAAGATCTTCATAACTTTCGTAGGAGCTGTAATAGTGTCTGCATCTTGGACACAATAATCCCGCGTGAAAGATCCACCTATTACTTTTACAGTTATTAATTCCTGCAGAGCTTGTAAAATACTTGGTAGTCGTGATTTACAATGTTTAGCCCATACACGAGCTAGTTTAGCTTGTGCAACGATTGGGAAACAACTGAGAGCTTTACAGAGCATGTGAAGAGCGAGCTCCAAATATTCACAGTTTCCTAACATTGGGATTTCAAATACAATAAGGAATACGTTCAATAGACTGTCCATATTATCCCACGGCATAATGCGGAACACTCGTAAGTCTAATTCAATATTGTCTGCCAATGTGACGAGTGCATTGACCAAAGCAGACTCAAAGGCACCTGTAACAAAAAACAAGAGGTTGAATTCGTGTCTCTAGGAGAAGTTGCAATGGGAGGATTGTGTAACATAAAAAAAGAAACATTACCACCTGGCACGGACCAGAGAGCATTGAATGCTCTCCTAACAGACGGTAGATCAACACTTGTGTCATCATTGTTAGGAACTGTGGGCGATGGTTCACTGCTGTCTTCTTCTTTGTCTTCTCCCTGAATGGATCGAATTGCTTCCTTATCCATATCACCTGGTGGCCTAAGCAAACTATCCGATGCTCTGTCAAGAAGTGCTGCCAGTGGAGAATCATTTTTCACAGTCTTTTGAAAACTGAGACTCAGTGCCTTTGCACATGAAAACACTTCTCCCAGAGTACGAATTAACAGCGAATATGATCCCTCTGCTTTACATCTTTCTATTATGTCTAGGAGTTTTGCCTCTGTAAGATATGGATCCTGTTTTCCTGTTAATAATAAATTCATCTTATTCGATACCTAGTGCTTTTATGAACTATTTAATTGTAACTGTAAGTAATTATAAACAAAATTTACATTAGTCACGAATTATGAATCTACTTTAAATAAATAAAAAACAAGAAGTGAGAATAGTACGTAACATTTATTAACATGTATACAGCAACCACACAAGAATTTAATTAATATTTGCTATGCAACCTTTTACACAATAATTTCTTAGAAGATGGGACAAATTATTTAGTATCTTTAGTATGATGCGAGTATTTTTCTTTTTCCAAATATCTCAGGTACAAATTGAGTATCAACAATTTGGCAACACAACGAGAAGAATTTTTAAGTTGCCTGTTAGAGAGCATGTTTGTTTCACAAGCATGCTTCTTCCTTTCTTTCTGATTTCTTGATGATCTTTTTGAACTCTTCCACTTTTTCTTAGCTGTCTTAGCGGAACGATTGTAATTCGGAATACGAATTTTATATCTATTTAACATTTCCATTATTGTATTATTTGATACTGTGGGAATGCAACTAAGATTTGTTTGAGGGAATTTGCATACTGAACAAACTGATCTTGACTTGTTCTCAGAAATTAAATTTAATGTTTTACTTAAAGCAGCTTCTGTGGAACCTTCGGGCTTATTCATCGATGCTTTGTTAGATGAATTTTGAATAATTTGACATAATAGAGGCTGAGAAGCGATATCGAACTCATTTTTAACAATAATCTCTTTATCATCACCTACAGAGAACCCTATTGAGTTATTAATTAAAGAAGCAGGATTTCTCCTAGTATTTTTAATGCAATACCTTCGTCTGAGCACGTCGGATTAACACTTTTAACTGGCAAACTCTTAGCCAGTGATGCAGGACCTGGTTCTAACGTTGTACGAGCTACTTTGCTTGGTTGAGTGCCATCGCAGAGCCTTGCTTCTTGTGAAAATAATTGAATGGCCTGAGCAGCAGCTTGATTTGGAGTAAGATTTGTTACCTATTGAAAAGAATAAATTATATTGGTATTATATACTCGCCTAAGAAAAATAGACCAATTTGCAATGCATACTTTGCCACTTGATGCACAATTTTGATTGTCACAATCAGGATTGCCACATCCATCAGTCAATTGATAAAAATATCGTTCAATCAACTTCTTAGCAACTGCACGCTTCATGTCGCTGCAAGGGCTCTCTGCACCTACCCTAATCATATAACAACAACACAAAGTAACGATTATTTATTCATTATCAAAACATGTTAAAATTAACTGATCATTCTATCTATCTTTCCTAATATTTCACTTATAACAAAGCAAATCAAATATTGCAACTTTTGGTGTAGTTTATAAAGGATCAGGTTCTTAATATTTGCAGTTTCACGAATTATTAATAAAAGCGTTTCTCAACGGTGAAAATAAACTATTGTTAGAAACATCGCGTGTGAAGAAGAAAAACATCTACTAATATTAGTCACATGTTCTATATGCAACAATTGGAATTTCCAACATTCTGCAATGAAATCATAAGAACATACGTTTTTAACATTACAAACTAAAGATGAACAAACTAGTTGTCTGCTTTACTTCCTCAACATTGACAATAGACCAGACTCAACTGTTATTGTAAACAGACCAAATCAAAGTGATACACATATATCCAAGTTGCATCCCAATAATCGCAATTCATTCAATTAGGAACACATGGTGGTGACATGTTGGTCAGTGATTCGCGACGTTGCCAGTTCAAGTGGAAATGACAGAAAGAGATTGGGTTCTCGAGGTCGAGCAGCGGGACGAGTCGTTGCACCAAAACAAAGCGCGTTAAAAATAGCCGTGGTCTCGTGGATTCGTAACGATATTACGTTTCGCGAAAATCCAAACCAAAGAAGCACCCGGTCTATGAAGTGGACACGAAGCAAGGTATAGAGAAATAAGAGGAGATTCTAGACAGCGGTTGATCGGTAGACGTTCGAGATGTCACCTGGAAGCGTGATCTTCCCCAGGGTCCCCTTGGCCCTTGGAGCTCATAGACTGCGAATCCACGAAATTTTGCTTCTGTCGTCCGTCGTAACAGAAAATCTCGCCACAGCCGCTTCCTCCCAGCAGATCGGTGTTTCCTCGAGTTCGCACAGACACTACCACTAAATTTAGTCAGCGGTCTTGTTATCGGCGGCTTTAACCACGATACTTTAACTACGTTGTTACTACGTATTACGCACAACTCGGTGTACACTTCGAAATAGAATAGTAGAGCAGGACAGAGAGGATAGATGGAAAGTAACGAAGAGAGACAGAAAGAAAGACGGGGATAAGAGAGAGATAGACAGAGAGGAGAGAGACAGAAAATGAACCGCAGCTCGGCTTGTGTCCGATGTATATTTGTCGGTAACTCGAACCGAACGTCCTCGTCGAGGTTAGGTATACACTGTATAACGACTGCACGAGTTCAAATGTCGGTGATTCGCGTGGCTCGTTGATCCCGTTGATACACGAATTTGTCAAGTCAATGTCAGAACACCGTGAAAATAGGAAAAATGAATCGGTTCGAGGTCCCTTAGCTGCTGTCTACTATTCAACACGGACACAACCAGCTGCGAGTATCGAGACTCGATTAATCGAAAACCGTCGATGTTTTTCGACACGTCGACTGCTCTGCTCGATGTTGATCATTTGCATCGTGCGGGAAAAATGCGAATTTCAAAATTATACCGGCTCTCTAATTGCCTTCATTTTCTATAGATTTCACTAACGAACTTTGGATGAGACTTACTCGAGAACGGGAACATTCGTATGCCACAGATTTACTTTCGAGTTTTTCTGCTTCTTTTGGAATTATTCAAATGAAATCATTTATCCTGTTTAATCACTTTTCTTTCTTCTATAAACTATTACATAAAAAGCGGCATAAGTCACTTTACCGTAATGAAAAGTGGTGATTTTTTAATGTTTATACGAAATTATATATACTGAGAAAAATATCAGTATCTTGAGATAACAAATAGAAGTAAATCTTCTCGAAAGTTAGCATCCATATTTTTAAACGTGTTAAAACGCAAACCCTTAAATATATCGACTTAAAAACAAAGTGACTTACGCCACTTTCAAAATAAACGGCTCATATATCCTTCTTGCTTGCAAGACTCACCGCATCCTTTTTTCTGAATACAATTGAATTAATCGACCTGTTCATCACCTAATTACCATTGTATCCTAAAGGATCTTTATTCGTGAATAACGAAATAAATAAATATTTATATTTACTCTCCTTTCACGAATGTTAGCTGTTTTCTGTAGACTTACATAGTATTGTATTTTTGTTTTTCATATTCTCAGGTGAAAATGAATTTTTTCATTTAAGAAAAATTGGTATAAGCACGTGATAGTGTAGTTTAACAAAAAACCATGTCGACTCTTTAATCATTTCAACTTAGATCTTAGAAAATTTGCGTTATTACTGGGAAACTAGTTCTTAGATCGATTTTGTTCATCATTGACAAAGTTCTTTTTCCGGGAATATTGATTTTGCGCTAAAACCAGCGCACGTGTCGAGTAGAATGTCTTTCTCGACTCTACGACAGTAGATAAACGAGGATCGAAAAGTGGAGCGTAGTGGATATCGGCGAGTCATTCGATAATTTGTATCGATTACCTGCGAATATAAACAGGAAATATATAAACCAGGGGTGTCAAACTCGTGGCCCGAGATGAACATTTTTGATGTCAAGTATTAGGACGTAAACAATAATTTAACTTTATATATATTATATATATATATAAAATATATAAAATAATAATAATAAATTAATAAATAATAATAAATAAATATATAAAATATATAAAAATATATTATATTATATATAATATAACTTATATATATTTAACTATATATATAATGTACTAGTCAAAATAAAAATATAATATTTGTTTCTATGAACATTGATTTTTTTTTGCGGCTCACCTGAAGTTAAGCATTGTTTATTTGGCCCAAGTTAGCTTTTGAGTTTGACACCCCTGATATAAACAGTGCTTTCGGGCTGAGAGGTACGAACTGGCGCGAACTGGAAACCATTAGTTTGTATTTAAAAGGGTGAAATTATCAATGCCCAGCGGCGCCATTTCCGAGCAGACGTGCGAATAAAGCCGCTCCCTCGGTCACACCTACGTACATATGCAAACTATGTTTCATTTCAATTCGTCCTAACTACGTTTCAGTTAATGGCAACTTGGAATGCGTACAATCCGTGGAAAATTTTCAGAATTGTTAGTTACTGTCTGTGTGAAAAAGATTATGAAGCAACGAACATCTTGACCACTGATGTCAATGTAGTGTAAACGTAGAAAAAGTAAATACAACAATATGTACCGAAAGATTCTAAAATAGGTACAGGAAATATTTCTGCGCATAATGTTAGAGCATATCAGTAGTCAGCTAATTCGATTTTAATGAAATGTATATAATCATTTTCGATAAACCTGTGTGCATAACCTATATTTCAAGGTTGCAACATGTACTTGTATGTAGCTGTATAAATCTGTAGTAGCTGTACAATCTGTATGTATCTGTATAAAACGAATATAAAATAATAAAAATGTTAAATATTTTATAGTCAAGTTTTTTAAAAATCGTTTTTGAATTAAATTTAGTTCTCGAAATATTTCTTATATACAATTTTCTACGATACTACGATTTGAATATTGCCGCGCTTTCCAATGTTTCCAATTCTTCTCACGCGGTATCTCGTTTCTTATTCAATGGTCTATAAACAGCGGTTTGCGATGGAGATTCTGTCAGTAAATTAATGACAACACCGGCTCCAAATTGTGTCCAAGGTCTTTTAAATTAGAAACACGAACGTCAAAAGCTTCGAAGAAGTTCCATTCAAGGTTATGTCTGTATTTATACGTCATAATTTAGTGTAATCAATATATTCAACCCTTTGTTTTCTCATTGCACACTTTTATTAAAATGTACTTGATATTATGTTTCGTTATCGCTTGTAAACTTCAACTATCGAATTCTCCATTTTGTTATTGTATAACGGGTTGTCAACTATAGGGCGGGTATGTCGATGAGCGGGAAATTTACATGTTCAAAGCTACTTTGCATGTACACCAATTGCACGATTCTTATGATTAATATATTTAAATAATTTAAAGAAATTTGTAGTTTCTAACGGATAGAATAATTGTAGGGATACAATAATATTTGTTCTTTTTAATATATAATCAATCGTAAAGTCAAATGTACCTGCTGAATTATTTATCGAATAAAAACTAGAATTGCCATTGAACAATGAATTAAAAAACTAAAAATTTAGCTGCGAAGCATTAACATTTAAGAGCCTATTAATTAATCACCAAATAGATAAAATATAAGTTTAAAATAACTAAAATGGAAGGGTTTTTGAAATATTTTCCTGAAAATAATACACGTCGATAGTAAATTTTTCAATTGTGCGTGTAAAAGGAATCTAATAAACAAATATTTGTGATAAGAACAAATTATGTGTAAATTAAAAAATTCTTAAGCTCCATATCTGAGGTAGAAACAAAAGTAAAATGAAGAAAAAAGACCTTTAATTATATTTTACCGAACCTTTCAACAATAGTAAAGGAAATATTTTCTCGCATATACAGCTTGTTCCGCCTGTAATTGAAGATGTAGTATTAAAGCATCGTCATGAATATCTGAAATAAAAAGAAGTGTGCACTATAAGGAAGAAAATTTGCTTAATGATTTCACAAGGGGCCTTGTATCTGCATTTTAAATGGATTAGTTCTCCGGATTAAAATGCGCTAACTTTTATTACTTCATTATACAGGAGACGCGGCTTCTCTTCGTTCCAGGGAAACTTTTCTATTCTCTTTTCGTCAAAATTATCTTTCATAATTATTTTTTAGCACCGTTCATATTCAATACGCTTTCGTTCGCTCGATCGCCATGTGATTATAAGTTTACGCGAACTATTATGTATGCACATATGTATATGTACATAATGTACAGATAGATGGATTACAAATATACAAGGAAAACCGAGCGCAAGTTAGCCGATCAGTTACAAAGTTCTTAACTTGACAATATAATTTAAAGTTTGAAAAGACCATTCTCGGGCGCGGAGAGATAGCTCGGACCATTTAGCTGAATGATCAAAAGTCGCTGATTAGACAGAAATTGGTACTCGAGCAAGCAGGGTGTCATCAGTAATTTGGTGCCAAGCCAACTACTCGAGATTTTTTTTCGATGATACGCCACTATATCCATCTGCGATCTGAAATATGTCAAAGGTTTGGAGAACGTTGTCTCTGAGATAGACACCGCGTAGAAACCGTGCAGCCAGCATTTCTTAATTCAACGCTCTTCGCTCCGAGAATTAAAGGAACCCTCAAAACAAATGAAAAATTTCTATTTTTTTTTCAAGAGATCATCGATCCAACACCGCAGAAATGACCAGAAATATTTTGCGATCCGATGAACCGACTCGATCGAAATTTAGCAAAATAATTCATCGCCAAATTATTTTCAATTTTTCGCTCCGAGAATTTAAGGAACCCTCAAAACAAATGAAAAATTTCTATTCTTTTTCTTCAAGAGATCACCGATCGAACAACACAGAAATGACCAGAAATATTTCGCGATCCGATGAACCGACTCGATCGAAATTTAGCCAAATAATTCATCGCCAAATTATTTTCAATTTTTCGCTCCGAGAATTTAAGGAACCCTCAAAACAAATGAAAAATTTCTATTCTTTTTCTTCAAGAGATCACCGATCGAACAACACAGAAATGACCAGAAATATTTCGCGATCCGATGAACCGACTCGATCGAAATTTAGCCAAATAATTCATCGCCAAATTATTTTCAATTTTTCGATGACTTTGAAGAAAAACGTATCTCACAAATCTCAAATAATTCACGTTTCGCTTCGATTCTAAAATCCTACGTAAGAAAGCAAGAAGAATCGCTGCTACATTTTCTTTACGCTTTCTAAAAGCAAAGGAAATCTACCGTCGCGATTTTCTTGGCAACTTCTCAAAACAGATCTCCGATCAGTTTTCAATTTCTCGGTGGGATCGCTGACGCCGATTAATTGCAAAAATACTTACCGTTATCGCCAGCAGCGGCAGCTATTCGAAAGTTGAATACGATAATACCCAACGGAACGGAACGGATGCACTCGTCTGAGATCGCGAAAGGAAATCGTTAAACCCTCGCAAGGTCTCATTCAATTCACGAGACGCGATAGGCGGGCGGGGGGATGGGGTTGGAAGGGTGCGAGGAGACAGGCGGAAGAAAAAAACCGATCTATCCATCTCAGACTGAATCTAATCTGGTGGCATAGCGAGACAATTCTTGCCGTTATCGTCGACAAAGCAACTCGGACAGACCGAAGTAAATAGTGTGTCCCCTTTTCTCTTCGTCTCCCGGACGAAAAAAGCAGAACCGTTGCGGGCCGAAGACGGGCCGAGGGCGATAAAAATCGGGAAGCAGAAAGGTACACGGATTTACAGGACCAGGGGTCGCTTGATAGGGGATGAAACTTCCGTTTGGATGTGGCCGAGTTTCGATCAAGGCCAACTTTGCCATTCGTTTACCACCCACCACCCTCCGCGCCCGCCTCCA